CTGTTGCTGGACTTCTCTTTCTTCTGCAGCCTATCAATTGCACCACAAACTCTGTGATTATGGTCTTTCCTTCCCATCTAAATGTACTGTTAAAGAAACTTTCCTGTCTGACTACCCAGGAGCCACTCTGGCAGCCACACTCCCACCTCCAGGATTGTAATTGCTGGGACCAAGGCTCCTTTACAGCAGGCACCTCCAGTGGCCAGTGGGTGCCCCATTTGACTCCCTGGACACCCCACACTCACACAATCAGACAAAGTTTCCTTAACGGCTCGATCCTCAGTTTCCCGCAGCAGAGTCTCAGTTATCTGGATCCTTTAAGTAATTTAGTCACTGGGCAACAATAGAATAACTGCTCGAGATGATGCCTCTGGGGAGGGACCCTCAACAAAGGAATCCTGGGGATTTTGTACTCTTACAATCTGTGTGTGCAATAGTCTGGGGCCTTCCTGCTGTGTTATTGAGTCTTGCTGTTCCCTGAGTGCCAGGTCACCTGGCCTATGCCACAAAGGTCCCCATGCCCTTTGTTATGCAGAGGGTTGGCATCAGGTCACGGCCCCTGGCCTGGGTCTCTCACAGTTTCCCCCACCCAGGACACAAACTACAGCTCTCACTGCGGCTGCACACCCAATTACCTGCTCTAAATCCTGTACCTGTACTTAGGTGGGGTGGGCTGATACCCCTGAGAACACTTTCTCCACATTTCAAGACCTTTTTGCATACTGGGTCAAGTGTTCATCTGCCAGTGGATGGGGGCACACGGACCATGGCTGGGTGTGAGAGGGAAGGGATGCCAAGGGCGTCAAAAGTGGAAGCAGAAGGCCAGTAACAGCTTTTGGTCCTATCACCTTTATTGTGGGAGCAGTCAATGAGCTTTTTCAACTTTAGAGCTGGGCTCTGCCCAGAGTGAGAGGATGTGGTGGTAGAACATGAGAGTGGGAAGGAAAGCATAGAGTCCTGGTGTTGGTGGGATACTTTATTTAGAAAATAATTCTGGAAATAATGCACTTATCTAGCCAACTAAATGTACAATGACACTTTCTAAATCATCGAAAGCATAGCTACAAAATTGAAAACCTCCAGGGACTACACAACAGAAAGCTGTTGGCCCTTACCTCCCCTTGAGGCCTATGAACTGCACAACCAGCCCTTAGGTTATGCGCTCTCCTTCCCACTAAATGCACCATAACATTATTTACTCTGGGCAGAGCTCAGCTCCAAAACTGATAATATCCAGGCACTGCTCCCACTTCAAATTTGCCAGGACAGATGGCTCTTGCTGGCCTTTAACTTCCTGCTGTCCCTGTTTCATAACACCACTAGATGGGGCGATGCACTTGCCTATCAAACTAAATGTACCCTGGCATTGTGTCAAACCAAACATTGCTCCAAACTGGAAAATCACTAGGTGTCAGAACAAACAGAGAGTTCTGCTGTTGGCTGGGGCTGTGAGTAAACATCAAAGGGCAGCAGCAGCTCTTAGTCCTGGCCCCTTCCTTATGGGAGCCCTTAAGCTGAAGGTTTTGTCTTTTGGACCAAGGCTCTGGTTAGAATGAGGCAGTGCTTTAGAAAAACTGTTAGGAAGAGGAATAAGGGCAGAAGCTTGGTGTTGGTAGGGCTAGGAACCAAGGTTACCCAGAAAAACACATGGAGACGCTGGCATACATAGAAAGGCCCAGGGAAGCCCATCGGTTTCACCAAGAGTCACTTTGAAGCTTTGGGTCTGCACAGAAAGTGATCCCGAGGGGTGTATGGTGAACAAAAGCATGCATGGAGGTCCCTAGGCTATGATGAAGGGCACTCACAGGACCCTGAGGTACACAGGATGTGACTTGGTACCCAAAGCCACAGAGAAAGGGACACAGAAAGAGATGAACACACGTGGTGGTGTCATTCCCTCCTGCCTCCCTATTCCCCCTACCTTTCATCACCCACATCTCCCTTACTTCTCTCTTAAGCCGTAACCACAAATGGGGGTTGTGATGGCTGTATCCAGTTTACTCTGGCTTTGGGAACAGATGGCAATGTGGTAGCCAAGGGCTGTCTCAAATAGTAAGCCAGATGTCTGGCAGGTATGGAACTATGAGTATAATCTTACTTTATAAGCAGTGGACAGCCCAGGTCCAGTTGAACTCTCCTGTACAACATCAGCAGACTGCATGCCAGGATCTCCCCTTGAGCAGGGGGGCCTCTCAAGAGTTTCCTCAAGAAACTTTCTCTGGCTGAGACTTTCCCTGCCACAGACTCTGGGTAAGTGATTGATAGCACACTAAATTTCGAAAGATATATAAAGGATTCATTATGCATATTTATAATCCTATAGATAAAAACTGTTGACCAAGTCTGAGACTAGGATTGGATCCAGATGCTCCCAAACTCCTCTCTGAGAAGGAGTTTAGAAGGCAAGGGGACCTTTCTGAATTCGTGATTCAATGGGAGAGTCTCCCTGGCTGTTTTGTCTGACCCAGCCACTCATGCAGTAAGTAATCATAAAATCATTTGGTTTGGGTTGGAAGAGACCTTAGAGTTCCAGCCCTTCTGCCATGGGCAGGTACACATTCCATGAGCAGGTACACCTTCCACTACACCAGGTGTGCAGTCCTCAGCACAAGAAACACATGGAACAGCTCCGGAGGAGGGCCATGAAAATGCCCAGAGGGCTGAAGCACCTCTCCTACAAAGACAGGTTGAGATAGCTGGGATTGTTCAGTCTAGAGAAGAAAAGGCTCTTGGGAGACCTCATTGCAACCTTTCAGTTTTTGAAAGGGGCTTACAAAAATCAGGGAGAGCAACTTTATACAGGGCAGATAGTGGTAGGACAAGGGAGAACGATTTTAAACTAAAGAGGAGAGATTTAGATTAGATAATAGTAAGAAATTCTTTACTTCAAGAGTAATGAGGCACTAAACAGGTTGCCCAGAGGAGATGGAGATCCCTGGAAGTGTTCAAGGCCAGGTTGGATGGGGCCCTGAGCAACATGATCTTGTGTCTGGCATCCATGCCCGTGGCAGGGGATTAGAATGAGATGATCTTTAAGGTCCCTTCCAACCTAAGCTATTCTATGATTCTATGATACTGGGTAGTAAATTTTATTTTGAAAGTACTCATCCCTCAATTGTATGTCCTGTCATAGACTAATTTTATGTGGGGTTTAATGTCCCTGTTTTGTCTGTGGTTCATGATTTTTCTTTTAGCAAAGTAATTGTCGTATATTGGGAAATAGGTGCTGCAAGAGTACTGCAATAAAATTTGAGCATTTTTCACAGCATGTCCTTTATACCCTATCCATATCTTAAAGGAATTTATCTTTCAAGAGGAATGTGTGTAGCTGTTACACAGATAAAAAGAAATAAATGGTTGAAAACCAGGCGTAAGATGGAGATATTCAGAGATGCATAATTTTTGGAAGACACCTCAGTGATAATCATCTCTAACATGAATTTTGCAGCAATTGATGGGTAAAGGTGAAGTCAGTAAGAGCCACTGCAGCCATTCCCCACTGACGCTGTGTAGTATGGTACCAACCTAAAATGTTATTGCAGCAGTACTTGATAATTCCAGTTCTCAAAACAAATGCTTTCTGTAAACCACAATTGTTATTGCAGACATGGCCACAGTTTTCTGATTTTCGAGAATGAGACTTTTAGGGCTAAAGAACAAAGGAACTCAACAATGAACCCAGGTTATGTGGAATAACAGGCTGCAAAGACATCCATTGGAAAGCAAGACCAGAACCCCATCAAAACTCCTTGAAAGCCACTTGTGGTTAGCCTAAAATTGTTGATGGATTTACATTTGCTTAAATTTGTAATGTGTAAAAACCAATGTCCATAAAAACTACCAAATGGCTATCATGCTTTCAAAAAACACAATTGAATTTTCACATATCATCTTTCATTCTAATCAATTTACTTATTGCAAAGTTAAGGTAGGGAGCACCTGAGGGCACTTACTGCACATTAATTTTTATTGGTATATGTAAAACTGTATGTCGTAGGCTGCTTTGAAGAATTAAACCCATGGTTATATAGATGTGGGCGAAAGTTCTGTAAAAACCTTGCCACAAATAATAATTTGCATTTCAAAATTAATCTACTTCAGCAAATGTTTATACTCTTTCCAGAACTGCTTCTTCCAAGTACAAAAGTTACTTGAATTCACCTTCATGAGAATTAATAGAAGAAAAATTCAAACTTCTATGCATGAGAAGTTGCAAAAAGTGACCTTGGATTTCACAAAAGTTAATATTTCCATCAAAATTCTTTATAATAAAAATTATATTAATTCTGCCATATAAGAGAACTGATATCATGTGAACAATGGCAACTCACCAATGTGGCACAAAGAACAGTGATAAATAATTGCAGTGAACTCTTTGTTGGCTCAAAAAATTAAATATACAAAGTATATATAGATTAATATAATTGCATAGATGACACCAACAGGCAAGGAAGATAGCTGCTTGATAAATAATGCAGAATAGAGTCTTTTTTCTTTGTTAACTTGGTTGACTGAGCCAGTTAAATCCAGAGAAATAGAGAGAACTGAATTGCTCATTTTGAACAACATATTGAATTCTAGAATATCTGAGAAATGCAATGGTTTAGGGTACATTGGATCAGAAAAGTGGTTTTCTTATGAAATGAAGGAAATTTTTCTGTGTTACTCCAAAGCACAGGAACCTAACTGAGAGATGTACCTGAACAATTTCTTTTAAATGACAGTGAAACGGGGCAGAATTTAATGTTTCCTAGTGGACATAGTGCTTAAGACAGAGAGAGGCAGGGACTTTTTAAAATCAACATTAATCCTAAGAGATGGTGCTTGGCAGAAATCACGAAGGGCAGGACAACTCCAAAATTCAAGTGCTGTTTCTGTTGCTCTAGTCTGTCTTTTGAAGCAGTCTGCAATGAGTTCAACCACACTGGCAGAGGGGAGAGAGGGAGCAGAAAAACTCTCCCTCAAGTATCCATTGCAGCTTTATAATTCAGGATGTGGCACATTCTGTACTGAGAAGAAAGCATGAGGCAATTCACATCTTGTTCTCCTGCCATCCATGAGCATGCTTTCCAAACTTGTACACCAGCCTTCTGTCCACTCGTTCCAAAATGCCAGTTTTATAATAGTAACTGCAGAGGAAAACCAGAAAAGAAACAATGCACAGAGTAGTAGCAGAAGTCACAACAGAGAAATTTTTCACATGGACTTCACGACAGCAGAACAGTACGTGAATCACTGTGTTCTTTACAGTCAGAGAGCTCCTCTCTTTCTGTTAAATAGTCTGTTGAGACTTTAAATAAGTTTAAACTTTCCCACATGCCTTGGAGTGCACCTTCCATTCTTTGAGAGATACAACAATTACAAAGAACTGTGATCTTCGATTTGTTGTACTTTTTTCCCCAAGGTCATCAGCTGAGAAGAAACTATCAGTGTTACTGGAACAGCAAAAAGAGTAATTTCGGGGGGATTGCTTGGCAAACATAACATTATCAACTGAGATAAAGCATGACTACTTTGTTGTCATCAACAATTACAACTCTGTACTGCTTTCTGTTTAGCCTTGTGAATTTTTTTTAGAAGCAAAGGAGGCCAGGAGCTATCTTATGACCTATAGAAAAAAACATGAAGAAAATAACCACACACCAATCCTTCCCCCCAACCCCCATGTTTTCATGATAGTTATGAAAAATGGATGCTGGAGTAGAAGTCAAATGAAATGGGGGATACTGCTGCCCGTTAACTCACCGAAGAGCTCTGCTCAATTTTTCATATGTCATTTTGTCATTTTTCTTCCTTTGTCCCCACATCTTTGCCAGAGCTTCTGATTTAACAACACGAAAAATGCCTTGTCCCCTATCTTCCCATTTCAGGATGCCACTGTCTTCTTCAGGAGAAAGGAGCAAATCCCTTACAAATTCCCACAAATGAGAATTCTGTAGGTCTTGAACAGGAGGAAGACAGGTATTTAGTAGATGCCTTCTTGTGCATGCCAAAGTACTAAGGCAGTATTTACAGTGCATTTTATTATTGGATTGTCAGCCTCACAAACCAATTGGACTTACCTAAATGTTTAAAATTTTGGTGCATTTATATATATAAATATATATATATATAAAATATAAAATTTAGTGCATTGCCTTACCGGAGGTGGCTTCAAATTATTTCCTCCAGAAAAAGAAATTAATCAAGTCATGCAAACACCTGTGACACTAGAATCTGGGCTTTTTGCTCCAGAAATTAGTACATTTTAGTGTCTTGCAAAATTTATGTCATTCATAGCTTCTGTTCCACTTATTGACACAGAATTCAACTTGATGTTTTAAAAGCAATTTTCAAGGTCATTTTAAGTGTTTCAAGTGAAAGATTGCAACAAACATTGCTTGCCTTGAAAATGAGGCAGTAGCATGAGGAGTTAGAAAGCCTACTTCCCAGCATTGCTAAACTATGTTATATCAACTCAGTTCAAAAGTTTGTTTGAGAATCAGAAGTGATATAAATAATTTGACTCTACCAAAAAAGCTGCTAGTGCTGTTATATGCAGAAATCACCTTAACTTCAGATTAGTCATTCAGAGCAGCCCTGCAGAGGACTTGGGAGTGCTGGTGGGTGAACAAGAGCCAACTCTGTGTGCTCAGAGACCAGGAGGCCAAATGCATCCTGGGCTTCACCAAAAGCAGCATCACCAGCAGGTTGAGGGAGGGAATTCTGCTCCTCTACTCTGCTCTGGTGAGATCCCACCTAAAGTGCTCTGCCCATGTCTGGGGGTCTCAGCATAAGAAAGATGTGGACCTGTTAGAGCGGGTCCAGAGGAGGACCATTAAGATGATTAGAGGGCTGGAGCACCTCTCTTATGAGGACAGGCTGAGAGAGCTGGGATTGTTCAGCTGGGAGAAGGGAAGGCCTTGAGGAGACCTCATTGTGGCCTTCCAGTACCTTAAGGGGGCTTATAAAAAGAAGGGAGAGGGACTTTCTGTACAGGCAAATAGTGACAGGACAAGGGGCAGTGGTTTTACGCTAAAAGAGGACAAGTTTAGATTAGATGTTAGGAAGAAATTCTTTACTGTGAGGTTGGTGAAGCACTTTACATCACTACAAAAGAGCAGGGTGCCCAGAGAAGTTTTGGCTGGCCTGTTCCTGAAAGTGTTTAAGGCCAGGTTGGATGGGGTCCTGAGCAACCTGATCTAGTGAATGACATCCCTGCCCATGATAGGGGAGTTGGAATGAGGTGATCTTTAAGGTCCCATCCAACCCAAACCATTCTATGATTCCATGAGTCTAGGTGAATAATTAGCATGCAACTGTATGTGTTGCAGCACAACAAAACATCAGTTTTTTTTCTAAATGCTCTGTTCAAAGTGCTTGGATTCTGCAGACGTGGAGTTTGGCACATGGTGTGCATGCATGCAGTGCACCCCTCCATGATGTGCAGCCGAAGGATTTCTAGGCTTAGTGTTGTGCAGTGCTTCTCAAATGTCAAAACTGCCTCAGCATTAAAGAAAACTAAAGAAGCAGCAAAGGCCCTCATTCTTTTTCATTTTTAGAAATCTCTCTCTTCACCTGCTACATACTGCTGATGTTTGAATACAGTATTTCCTGTTGAATGGAGCTTATCATGTACAAACAAGTTTACTTACAGTCCTTGTTTAATGGTGTTGTTGCTTCTGCATCAGTAAAAAAGGAAATGCCTAAAAGGGGAAAAAATAATCCAGTGTTCAGTTATTTTCTTCACAAGAATAATTTCTGAACTGAAATCTAAAGCCAAGTCCTTTTCTTCTGCATCATTGCTTGTAAATGTACCTCAGAACAGACGAAAAAAATACAGGCTGCAAAATCACGAAATAATTTTTCAACTAATCTGCTGCAAAAATGATTTATTCTTCCCTCTGTGACTATGTTTGTGTTGTTTTGGGATTTTTTTTTTTTTTAACTTTTGGGGGGTTTTTTCTTATGCTTTGCATTGTATCTGTATATCTCTGATCTTATGATTCATGTGTATTGATTGTTTCTTTTCCCTCTGGTCCCTTTGCACTTCATTTTTGCTGTTGTCTATATCACAGCTTCTCTCCCTTTCTCTCACTTAGGTTAGTCTATTCTTGTTCAGCTCTTTGTCCCTTGAAAAATAGTCCTGCAGTCTTTCCTTCCCTCCTTCTGCTAAGTAAATAAAGATCATCTCTATGGCTGGAAATCAGATCTTCACAGGGCTGCTTTTTTAGAACAGTATCATCTTTTAAATGAGCATTTACAGTCTCAACACATAAATAAATGCATTGCATATACAAATCTGCATTCAAGAGACTTAACTCATGCTGTGAGTGTGGCGTACAAAATTGGGAAAAGCTAGACTTAAGCCTGCTTGTGCAGCCATAGTTTGGTCATTAAGTATGTTGTAATAATGTCTTGCTAGGCTACAAACTGTCTTTCCTCACAGGTCTTATGCAATTTATAAGGTAGATATGCATGAGCTGTTGTATTTCGTTCACTGCCAAGTGTTCAATCTCTCTACTGACTATAAAAAATACAATTTTCTTAATGAGATTATCTTCACAGCTCTGAATTCTTTAATTCCCTTAATAACATCCTTATCTACTGCATTTAATAATTGCCTTCTGAATGGCCTCTCTGACATGATATATGAACACTAACTGGATGGAAGAAACTGATGGCAGTCAGTCCCACAGCAGAGCAGTGCCAACCTAAACCAGAGGGCTGTTTTGCTCCTGTGACAGTCTCTAGTCTTTCTCATCTCTCCCAGTCTTATCTGTCCTACTGACAACAGTCTCAGTCACTGTACAACCCTGCTTCATTTTGATAAATCTTATCCAAATGTTTTCTTAAGCACTGCCTTTTCTCTGGTCTTCCCAGTCTCTCAAAGATCCTGTTTCAGCTTCAGCCTGCCCTTCCCTGTTTTTTGTGTACCCAGGTCACCCTCTACTGCTGCATTCTGCCTTGCCACCTCTCTCCCCACTGGGCAGTTCAAGGGTAGGTAGTGGACCGGGAAGGGGTGGATAAATTCCAGCACATTGTGACTAAGCAGCTGCTCCCCACTGGAAGCAGGTGGCAGTGTCAGCTACCATGAGGTCCTCCAGGACTTGCATGCCTAAGTCTTTAATCCTTTTCCAGCAGTCATAGAGCTCCAGTTTGGTCAAATAAGCCAGAGAAGGCTTGAGCCACTGAGGGCTTCAAGGAGCTAAAATTCTCCTCAGTTTCTCATTGCAAGGGCACAGCGGAATGACATTCTGAATTTCCCTGCTTAGTGGAAACTCCTTTTTTCATATCATCACAATGAACCTGAGTACAATTGCCCTAGTTAGGCATGCACACTAATCTTTAGTAGGTGTGACTATAGAGAAAGGGTATCTGCAGCAGAAATTTCACTTTTATATCACTTATTCTAAACTATCAATAACTTAGTTTTTGAACCTCAACTCATGTAAGCATTAATAAGTCTTCTAAGACAATGTTGAAAATAGTAAATTAAAAGTGTTTTCTTTCAAGACCATCATTAAGCATACTATTAATGAGGTGCGTGCTGCAGTGATAATAACCTCATCAAACAAAACTTCTAGCTTACTTTTTAAGAAGCAAAGCAATCTTCACTGCTTTGAGTTACAGGAATAACAATGTGTTATGTATTTCTATATCCCGTCAGGATGTAAACTTCCCTTGAATCATTCAGGTTGACCAGTTTTAGTAGAAAACCAAAGGAGAGAGAAGTGCGTGTGTGTATTTAGAGATGTGACTGGCTCACAGTGACATGCCTGGTCTGTGACTGGGAGGCCTAAGGTCGCAGTGAGATTTTCTACCTGTCATATTTCTGTGTATTCCTCGTGCAGTATCTAAGCAGCCTCTGCACTTTGCCTTTCTTCAGTGCTCAAGAACGTGGATCCCACATTTTCTTTTAGTGCGAAACACACAAAAATTCAACGCTTTATGCTTCGTGTTTGATTTCTGGAACACTAACCATGCATCCTGATATTCTGTAAGATGAAATACAAGAATTCACCACAAACGCCTGCAGCTTCTAGGAACTCTTCCTGGGTCATGTTGCATAACTGCAAGCCGTTGATATTAAAGTGGGGAAAGGAAATGCAGTTGGCATCTAATTTGTACTGGTCACAGCAAAACTGCAACCATTCACAGACGTTGTGCTCACTCCAGTATTCTGGGTGGATAGATGTCCAGAAAGAATTAGGATCTGCAACATATTTGACAAGAAAAAGGAACATTGCAATGAAAAATTCATGGTGCACTTAATTTTAATAAACATATTTCAAACAAAACTAATCCTTCTTCCTTCTCCTGACTGTAGTCTTCCTTCCTTACTCCTCTAGAACACATCAAGCCCTGTGTTTTGCGTTTTTTGCTTTCTATTTTACTGCCTTTTGTATTTCATCCTGTGTGAGACATTTCAAGAGAAAGTGCTTACACATGGAAAAAAATAAAATATGCCTCTTAATACTGCAGTTCAAAAAATTTAAAAAGTCAGAGTACAGAATTTGTGAGAATTGAGGATTCTGTAATATAAAGGAGTGATGTATTTGTAGACTAAAATAACTTTGGTCTTAGATGTGAAAATAGCCAAAGCCACCTTGTTACATTTTGTGGCAGATAGTGATTAACATTAATGTATTATGTTTTTTCTTAGAATTCCAGTGAATTCTTTTGTTAATTTAATCTAAAATAATGTTAATGTCATCAAAAGGAATGTTTATTTTGTTAGATTAGAAAATGAAAAAGACACTATTCTGAAAACACATCACTGGACAAAAAGCTTCCAAGTAAACCTGCCAGGCAGTTGTAACTTCTTTTCCAATTAAATCCCAAATTTTTTTAACAGTCTTCTCCCCTTAGCAGTGCAGTTACCAGGAAAATGTACAGAAATATGAATATATTTGCAATAATTCTTTTTCCCTAGAAAAACATGTTACTGATCTTATGTCTAGGCCTGGTATGATAAATCTATATACTACGTTAACAAGCATAATCTGTAATTTAAACACTTTTTTCCCTGGAATCGAAACACAGGCTCTTATTTTTGAATCTGATTGGGTATATTGATGGGCACACTTTTAAAAAAAACTCTACTTTCTCTTTCCATGATCTAGACTGCTACACGTAGGCAAAAGTCTGATCTTGCAATCTTCTGCTAGATGCATATGCAACTGCCTTTTTTGGGTGATTGTAAGAAGCAGAAGCAATGGCAAGGATATGTCCTTTCTGTATCCATTGAAATAACATTTAGCAAAAACAGAATTCAAGTATGCATCTTGGAATCGTTATTTTCACTCATTCATTACTCAGTTTTCTTCTATTCTTTTTAAGGATGACTCATAATTTTTATCTGTTGATATTCTTAAGTAGTTATGGAATCCAGTCCTGATCCTTGTGTTAGGATCTTTGGGGATTCTAAATTAATTTTTATTACATTATCTGTAATACTTGTATCACTGTATGGAGTGGAGCAATTGCAGAAGAAAAAATAGCAAAAGAAAGACAATCAAGCATGTGAATGAAAGTAATGCAAATAAAAAAGAGAAAAGGTTTAGTTCATTTTCATTTCCCACAGCATCTTACACTTGATGTGTATTTCAGTTTCTTAGTCCAGTTATCTATTATTTATTACTTCATTTTCAAATATATCCCGAATATTTGATTTTAGTAATTGCTTATATGAAATTGTAACTTAAAATAGTTTATGATAGCACTGCAAGTCGGGTGAATAGTATCTGTCTGTCTAGACAGCCAGCTCAGAGTGCAAAATGATGCAAATAGGCTGGAGGAGTTACCATAGTAAAATTAATTCGAAGGGCTTGAAATTGTGACAGAATAACTGTAATATGGATCTTGCATCCTACATGGCTTCTGTAAAGTAATTAATACTTCTAATTACTTTAATTACAACTCCTAAAGGTTTACAGAGGAATTTGTGGTTGCTTTCATGAATCATTCCCATGCTATAAATATCTTCATATGTATGCACATACAGGATTAATGTAATATTGCCTGCTGTGTTTTAAAGCCTGGGACGCTACTGTGACATTGTAGCAAAGCCAAGAGGTGGGCAGAAGCTCTGGGTCTGACTTTTGGGACCCACACCTTTAGGATATTTGAATCCCAGATTTTATTCACCTCCTTAGTTAAAAGGAAAATCAGATGAGCTTGCCATTGGATTAACTTTATAAACCCTGCAGACTGAACACACCTGGCTATGTCAGAGTCTGAAGGCTTCTGTGGGGGAGAATGGGAGTGCTGGGAGCAGCAGGCTCACAGGCCTTTTGCCAGGTATAAAACAAAAAGCTTTAAAATTAGGCTATAGCTCTACTGGAATCCCAACTTCAGAGGTTGCTCAAGAGAAGCAGAAAGTTGAATCGATCCTTTTCTGAATCAGGCATGTTTTTATTATTTTTTTTTTTCATCCTCTGCCAACAGCCTCCAGCCCCCCTTAGGAAAACTGGAACATCATCACATCCTTAACTAGGTAGATTCACCAGGAGATGGGTGTCCCCGTGGGGCTGGGCATGAATCCAGCCCTGTGTTTCAGGGGCTGCTCGGTGACCTGCTGCCACAAGGCAGTCTAGATCCTTTCCTGTATCTGTGTGCAATATGCAGCTGAGTGAAAAGGTCATGGCTTCCCTTTTCTATCTACAACTTCACTTTTTTATCCACAAGAGTGTTGAGTTGCTTGGTTTTTTTTCTATCTTAAGGCAATATGAAAGAAAAGTGGAAGTATTTATTCTGCCAATCCACAAGTACAGTGAATAACCTTGAAATACTTTGGCCATTGGGCTTGAAACTTTGACTTCATTTTGATAAATATAATTTTCTCTGGCAGTATTTGTATTGTCAGTTAAATGGCACAGCATGTTTCATTCGTGGAACAGCACTCATGTAGTCCAGTTTCTGTGTTTGGTTTTAGAAAAGCTCAAATCATTCTTTTCAAATATGCCATGGCCCCTTGAAGTACTATTGTATATGATGAGCATTTTAAAGGTGCTGACATCAACACCTCATCTTAGCATGTGCTCATGGCTTTTCTATCTCATATCAGAGTAAAGAATTCAGGGACTTTCCTGTCTTGTAAATGATGAACATGATTAAGGTATTATGCCGCTAAGGAGAGAAAGATCAGCCAAAGACATAGAGTCTATGAAAGACTTCAGGGTTTTTTTAATGAAAAAGAAAGGGGCAGGTAAAATTTCATACCACCATACAAAAACATGAGGGCCAACAGATCCCCTAGTGACAAGAACATGCCAGAATTGTGCCTAAAACAGGATGATGATGGGTAGCAGGGGTGCAGAAGAAAAATCAGAATTCAGACCTTTTCCATTCCACCATTTTAAGGTGATTTCCACTGCCTGTTGAGCTGCATTGACCATCTTATTGTGCTTCTTGTTTAGCCTGGGTTGGACAGTCCTCAGAGAATGGCATCTCTTGACATAATCTTTGCAGATTACAGAGCTTGTTTCAATCAAGAGACTTGACTGAAGTTCCCTGGCTAAGGTGACACTTCTAAAACTCTAAAGTCTCCTGCTTTGTGGGGGATGTGGTTTTATCAGTGGTGACAAGTGAAGCTGTGGAAGGCAATAATTCTCAAGTAGGTTTAGGAATGCACATCAAATAAAAGACAGCTGTCCAGATTCTTCCAGGGATACACTGACTGCTGCATGGCATATGCAAGTAAGCTAATATAGTATGTGTGTGATGTATATATGGAGGGAAATACTGCCATCAGTCAAAACAAAACTGCCTAATCTCTTTATATGCAGTACAGTTTTAATATAGGGTGGGCAGATCATTCCTATGTAACATGGTCCACGTTCTTGTGAGTTGGAAAAGACATTTAATTTGGTCATAATGTTTGACATTTAGAAGTCAGAATTTATTGTGAATTTTCTGTATTATTTTGCCCTTTTCACCATGTACTGGAAAACAGAGAAGAAATGAAAAATTACACAATGTTTTTGGTGTCACAAATCTTATAATCCTCCACTTTGTAATAAAAAAAAGTGCCCGCAAATACAAATGTTGATATATTCTGATAGTCAGAAAATAAAAGCAGTAAAATTACCGATGTGGGAACATACAGGCAAACTAACTCTGTAGTTCTTCCTGTGGGAGCAAGGGAGTGGCTGCACTGTCCCTGATGAAAATCCCTCTAAACCAGGTCCTGTATCTGATCAGGTTTGCTGGAACTACTTCACATTTTTGCAGAAAATGTTTTAGAAACTTACTTTGGGCTCATACATTAAAATACTAGTGTTTTTTCTAGAACAGGAGTAAGCCCAGCAATAGCCTGTAAATAAGTTATCCTTGTCTGTTTCTTTCTAGGCAGTCTTGCCATCACTTTCTCTTGTTTAACTTGAGCTTCCACTTTGTTTCTACCAAGCACAAAACAGGTTTTCAAAAGACATTGGGATCACAATTCTTAAACCTATTACTGCCACCAGAAAAAAGTGCAGGTTGAATGTTATTAGGCTGACCTACATTCTACTCTGGCTTCAGAGCAAAGTACTTTTCTGTGCAAGGGCTGCTTATGCAATGCAGTGGTGGCTTTATCTGTGTGTGCTAGACGTGTTTTATGTACTCATTGTCTACTGTGGAAGAAATTACAAGAGAATTCCCAGTCTGGTTTAAATTTGATTCAGAAGAGAAATTACTGTAACCATAAAGGACTCCTAGAAAGCCTAAAAGCATGAAGAATTGAGCAACAGAAAACGTGCAGGAAGAAACAAAGCTCCTACCTTGGTCAGAAAAGGCTAATTACTTCCTCAGCTCATCTTTGCTTAGCAAGAGGCAGTCTGACCTGATTGTTGTGTAAAGCTGTGTGTCTTAAGAACTGAGGGAGCTTTTCACTTAGCTACAAGTGGAATTCAGCTTAACATGACTGCTGGAGTATAAATGCTGTACCACTTTTCATCTGGATGAATTCAGAGCTGTACAGGTGTAGCATCACAGATCTTATACTGTTAACTAATGTCAGACCACAGTAAAGTTATGTATTGTCAAAATACCTCAGATGGGCTGCTTTGCCTCTGGCAAACGTGTATCTGCCAATACCAGAAGTTACCTTGGGATTATTTCAATGTGGGTTTTGTATTTGAGGAGTTCTGTTTGTTTAAAGAAGTGAAAGTTGAATAACAGGCAGATCTTTAATAAAAATCAAGGCAAAATAAGAAGAATTAGTCAGAGGGATCCAAAATTAACTTTGAGTGAATCATATCAGGTATTTAAAAGTGCCTGTTTAAATTTTAAAACAGAAGGCTTTCTGTGATTTTTGGAATTTCAAATTAAAGTTAGGACTGTATTCTAAGATGGAATGAAAACTAATATTAAATCGGTATGATTTCAAAAAAATTTCAATTCCTGCAGAGCTTTAAATACAACCATCTTGAAGCAAGAAGATTTATATTCTGTCTCACATGTCAAACAGTGATATAGAAACAAAACACTATGTCCTCAGTGGTCATGGATTAGCACCATCAGAAGCCATGTGGAAATTACTGTTGTTACTCAAAATGTGTCTTGGTGGGAAAGGTCTTTTCCACAAGACCAGCAGTGTTCTTGTGTAAAAGAACAAAAATAGTTCTGGAAGAGAAAAATTTTGCATACAGTAGTAATTTTTTTCCCGGTTCTCACCAAAAGTTTGGCTCATTAACATGAGTGGGTTGTATTACCTCCCTTTTCAGGGCCTTTTAAATGGTTCAACCTGAGCACAGAAAAGAATGCCAGGACTATTTAGGAATTTAATCCAGCTGTTTAGAAGGGAGGGGATTTCTAACAAGTAGTGCTTACTTAGGCTTCAGAACAAGGATCTGACCTGACACCAGAACATTTGGAATGAATTCCTTCAAACAGATTAGGGATTCCCCACATGAGATACATGGCCTCATAAAGTGTAGGTTTTCCAAAAGCACATTTAGAGCATTGCACCCTTAACGTTGGCCCTTTCTGTAGTGGGAAACTCTTGCACTATTACAGATGCATTTCTACAGCTGTTCTGTTCTCTAGTGTCTTTCAGAATTCTGGTCCTCGCCATCTTAGTGTATATTTACCTGGTCTCCACTATTCATTATGAAGTTGCAGAGCATTTGAGTAACTGTAAATCTCACAAAATAAATTACTCTTCCATTCAACAACTGAAGTAATTTATTGTGGGAATCTTTTCAGTGAGAAATGCTGGATGTCAAACACATGGAAAAAACAAAAGGAGTCAAGAATCTGAAGCCATAGTTGTTGTGCCCCTCATAATGAACTACGATGGCCTTTGAAAGTTTCTGCTTGAATTAGGTGTATCATGCTTTCAAATAAGAGGAGAAAGCATCAGTTCAACTCACTGCATGACAAACAAAACTAGAACCGCTACTCTCCCTGTGCACCTTTAACTACACGGCTGGTGATAGGCTTGAAAGATCAGTGAGACCAGAGCAGACAATGCATATAACAGAAGGCTCAGCAGCAGTTGCAGAATCTATAGGCTTTTTGCTGCTTGATTCGTCTAAAATTAATGAAATTAAAAGCGCTCTTCAGTTTTTGACATTGTACAATTTCTTTTCTTTTCTATTGGAGTCTGTCTGCATACCTCTTTGATGATCACTGGCAGTATAGACACCTTCGGATGTCCCAAATAATCCTGTCGAAGACATCAGGGGATCGCAAACCATTGTGTTTGGCAGAAATGTGCTCTGAGTTACTGACTCCAGCATCACCTTAAGACATTAATACATTAGTTGAAGGTGAAAAGATAATATTAAGGAGTAAAGTTTTTAGGCTGTAGACATTATTGTCTATCTGTGTATTTCTGTGTATTGCCTATGTATAGTTCTATGAGGTACCATCGCCCACAGTCATTTAAGCTTCAGCTGAAGCTAATGCTGATCTTCCGAAAACTGCAGTGAAGGAACTGAGAAATTTAGGAAGAAGGCAGATGATTAATATGCTACAGGTAGATATTCAGTAAAAATGATTGTAATGACACCTTCCTAGGAACTTGATAATGAAATTTATGGATATGAAAGCGAGAGTGAGCAATAAACCAATTAGAAACATATACATGAGATTAACATTATGGTTTAATAATATAACTGGTAAAAAAGTTTTGAGCTAGTTCTCGTACAAGTGTATGAGAAAACATTGTTCTGGCCATAAGGATACTCACATTTTGTCTGTAAGACACTGCAACAGTTGTCATCCACGCCAGAGTATGAGGAGTTTAACAAAATCTGAGAAAAAAATATTCTTTCAAAAGTGATTAGAAACTGAGAATTTATGTAGAAAAATGGTTATTCACTTCAGGGAAGAAGCTTTTTGCACAAAAAAATGAGATTACTGAAGAATAAAGTGATCACTAATTGGTGATATTTCAGTGAAAGAAATGAGTGGCAGAGGAAAACATGATCTATGATAGGAGCTATAGCAGGTACAGAAGAGAATTTTTGCTCATTCCATTTTCTTATACATATATCATGCATGTACACATGCATTAATTTCCTTAGACTGGAATGGACATGGACTTCCTGCTGTTGAATAAATACATGGACCAGATTATGGCTCTGGCCTTTCAGACTTCACACAGAACTGCTCAAGCTAGTTTTGTCTCTTTTTTTCCCAGACCTAAGCTGCTTCTGTGTTTCATAACTAATTCCATCTTGGGTAATCCATAGAAGAAAGACACTTGAAACGTTTACTTGAGTAACATGATCTGATCTTAAAGATCGATATGCAATTTAAAACTATTACGAAGTCAAAAAACGTCCAAGTAGCTGTGTACACTGAGGGAATGGGAAGCATTCAGAAGTTTTCATGGTCTCTAGAACTGAAAAAACAGCTGATTTTGGTCTAAATTAAGCAATGAGGAGATATGGAACATGGAAACATTTGGGAGTTCCCTGAAATGCTTTGATATACTAGAACTCAGATATATGGCAAGGTAATACTTCAGGACACCACATTTCCACCTAGTCATATTAATAATATAGTCATATTATTGTGAATGGAACATGGGAGGCAATATTTAGAGATTGTGTTAAAATGGTAAACCCCTTCATTTTCTATCCATTTCTGCCAAAGGATTTGTTGTGGAATACCTCATACATATGTATGTCTGTAATTGTGCATTTGGATGGACACACTGTATTCTGTGAGTAGTGCAGAATTTTACAGAATTCATACGAAGTGATGTATATGAAGCTGCAATGTCTCAAATAAATCACCAGAATTTAAGTTCATGATGGTCCCAATCTTCTTTTTTTTTTTTTTTTTCATTCCTCTGACTGAGTGGCCCACACAGGGAAAGATATCTATTTAAAAACAATTTATGAAGTCAAAACAGTGTCATTTTAATTAGTTCTGAGTTGCTGCAGAATATAATACAAAATTTATTTAGTACAACTATAAAATATTTAATTTCTTTCTGCAATTGCTTTAGTGTATCATTCCAATACTTTAATATAATGATGCAAGCTTACTATGGACAGAATTCTGAAGTTCACAGGACAAGGCAGAAAGAAGTCAACCAATATTTACTGCATTCCAAGTGTATTGACCCAAGTATTTCTGAAAACCAACAAATTAGAGACTTACTCATGTTTATCATCCATGTAAAAGAGTTCCTGTCACTGTCATCCCTGTGAGTATACTGTGAGTATACCCTGGAGACAACTCAGTGGTCAGAAATAAACAGCTAAAAGCCCATTGCCCTTGGAGAAAATAGATTCTCTCTGCAGATCACTGGAGAGACATATTTTAAGAATGATTGCAAACATTACCTGTTCAAAGTATCTCTCCCACTCTATATCTACCTTCCCATATTTAAGATTTTCCACAAAGAAATGTCTGGAACGAAATCCAGAATCCATGAAGCACGGAAGTATATTTGCTCAAGGTGAAACAACATCCAGGAAGATGGATGAACTGTTACAAGCAAAGAGGGGTATGAAAAAAATCCAAGGCCATTGGATCTAAAAAAAAAAATTGAAATGAGACACATGCTCGATGTTGTAGTTTATTGTTAGGGCAGCTTATTTCTTCAAGCAGAGAAACTAAGCTTGTGCAGTGGAATGGCAACCTCAGTCTTTACTGAGGACTAGATACGGGCTTGCAGGTGTGGGGTAAAGCTGCTAGCTTCAAATCCTACCAACAGGTTTGACCACATGCCTTACAGGCAGTAAAAACTATTTGTGAAGGAAAAATCCTGTTTTCCTCATATGCAGTCAACACTGCTGCTCCCATCTAGAGCTCTGGATGTTACAGAAAATAATGTTAATTATTAATATCATTGGCAAAGATAATATATTTTCATGTATTTTATGCAAACAAGATATTGATTTGGGTCATATTGAATATTATCTTAGCCTTAGCAGGTGCTGCTTATGTATGCACATACCTGCTTAAATACACTGAGGTGATAGAGGAATTGGAAGAGTCAAGCAGGTTTTTTTCGAACAACAGGAGAGTTTTACAGTTCTTAGTTTTACTCCAGGTGGTGTGGGGTTCACAGAATCTAGAAACTAGCTTTTATTAAGTTACAAACAATCTCTTTTGATTTAGTGAGACAGACCTAGACTGTTACCTTATTAAAAGATGTTGAGGGCCATGCTTGTCTCCACCATTAATTCATTAAGCCAAAGTCAATTGTTTATTATTGAGAAAACTGGTGATGCACAAATGAGAATGGCAGGCAGTTCATCAGCTGAGTGTCTGATAAAATCATCACAGCAAAACCATTCTGGCAGCCTACAGCTCTTTTATAAACAATGACTTCAGTAAAGAAATGGAGCTTACTTTTAGGTAGGTGATTACTCCTTATGCAGCTGTTAAGTCCAGAAGTAGGTCTTGGAAGCAAAGGGGAACAGGAGGCTTCAACAGCAGCACAGCCAAGCACTTCAGAAATAAAGCCACCAGCAGGACTGTGATATATGGAACACCTTAGAGACAGGTTGGTTTGGTTTTTCAAGTTCTTATACACTCCCCTTTTGATGACAGTGATAATATATAGTATAATGTAGCCCAGGACTGGGGGAGAAACATTCTCAAGCACAGAAAGTTTACCTTTATCCCATATTTTTTTTCCTCCTTCTCTAGAATTGTTAATTTATATACAAGCATGACTTATGGACCACCTAAGCAAACGTGGTACATGTAAGCACTTGAACTAAGGCTAGTCTCACTCCTTCTTTTGTGACCTGAGCTTGTATGAAGGACTATCAAATTTTGTTCAGAGCCCTCAAAGCCCAGGAAGTGGCATTCTCACCATTTGCATCTAGCAAAGACCAGGATGCAGAAAAGTGACTTGCTTCAAGTCATGCAGCAAACTACTGTGGGTGTTAGAGAAAGGACAGCGCTCACCCTCCGTCAGGTGAAATCTCTGTCAGGCTGCGCATTGTGCCTCTGAGCCCCACAAAAACCTGATGCCTTCTAGCCCAGATGAGGTTGCCTTAAGATCTGAAATGATCATTAAGATGTTTGAATGTTCATGGATAGGATGCTTGGCATGACTGGGAGCAGCAGATCAGAGGCACCAGAGGCAGCAAGAATGAACAGGAGAATGAAATGGGTACATCTAACATAATATGATACTTCTTTAAAATATAAACTAAGAATAGTTTTGGTCAACTAGATGGAAATATTTTTGTGCCCCAGAGCTCCATCCTAATTAGTAGTCTCCTGAGGATGCCTGCATAAACAGCAAGACTTAAAATTTAGGCACATATGACACCTCAATTCTTCTGAGATATACTATTTCTAGTACTGAAAATACATTGTCTTTAATATATTTTAGGTGGGTTTTCTACTAATATTTTCTTGTTTGCAGAAATTTGTGAACCAGAATTGTCTTGGAATGGGGGAGTGGGGGAGGGAGAGTGATTAAATGAGACAAATAAGAGAGGCAGGACCTTGCAGGATCCCTTTGGTTTACTCTTCTGCTTTTCTTTTGTGCTCTCACTTCAAGTAAAGGCATTTATTTCTCCATAACTGTGCTGACAGGTGCCTCGTGAGCTTCACCCTGCTGCTGTCATGTGCATCTCATGCTAGTGATGTGGCTTGACTGTGGAGAGAAGCAACTCTGATACAAGGTAATGTTGCATGGTGTGAATACAAGAAGTGACTCAGAGGGAGTGCCACATTTCATCTCCCCAGCACAATAGGGGTTGTGCCAAGAAACACTGCTAAAGGAGCTGGTAGAGGGCCACCCAGGTGCAGTGCCCCAGCTGGTCATTTCAGAGCATGCTGCACCATGAGAACTACCTACTGTTACACAAGATGATGGCTGACAAACCTGACGGAAGCTTAGACTGGAGGCTCCCATTTAGCAAAGCCTTAGCCATAGAGGACCCCTCCTTGCTCTCATTTAACTAACTAAATTATCTCTCTACCCTTTCTTTTTTTTAATTTCCTTCTCTGCTTACCTTTCTTCTATCTGTCTCCAAATTTCCTTCAAAATGGTAGAATGATAGAGTTTGCTTCTATCAAGGGGGAAAATGCATATACGGCAATTCTGTTGGAGACAGATCTTTTCAGAAACCCAGTCTGCAGTGCATGAGACCAAACAAGTAAGTCTGTGCAATAGCTTATCATGTTATCCAAAGTAACAGTCTGATTTCCTGTAATGTGGCTTTTGCATTGATGAAACACCATATAAATTGTGGGATAATCCAGACAGGAAATTGTTGGTAACCTTGTAAACATCAGTAACTGTATAAATAAG